TACTGATTATCTATGCTGCAGAAAGAACAATGAGCTTTTCTAGATCATGTTATTGAAAATATATTTTGGGAATGAGCTTTGAACCAAGTCCAGGCAATTTTTTCTAATGATAAAATCCCTTCTGGGACCCTCCCAGTGCAGTTTAAGTTTGCACTGTTTGAGGAAGCCTTATGATACAGGCAGCTGCTTTTGCTGAGCTCATGTTCTGAGATCCACTCTAACTCATTTACTGGTTTGTGCTTTCCTCTCAGCTTTTAGGATCTGCTTTCAACAGCTGCAAAGCTGATTTCTGGGCTCTCTTGGCATTTCTGTGCTATGCTGGCTACCTTTTCTGCCAGCCCTTCCTGCAGCAGTGCTTCTGTGGTACTAGCTTGGCTTGGGCTGTGTTATCTAATGCTGCTTTGGTTCATGATTGGACTGAATTGTCTCTCAGATAAGATTCTTTTCTGTTTGAAAACTGCGTATCAGAATGCGTTTCTGGGCCAAAACCAGGGCCCTATGTGCAATTTTGTTGTTTTCACTGAAGTGCTAAAAGAAGAATAAATCAAAATATTGATTTATATTGATAAACTTTTAGTTCTCCAGCAGGTAAAAGAAAACAGCATGCATGTGCATGCTTTCAGGCTCTTCCTTGCTTTTTTCTTCCAAAGATGTCTGTCTCTGATAGGAAAGTGACAAGCCAGCCCAGAAGGAAAATTCAGCTGAAAGGACCACAAAATGCTGAGTTTGTCTTTGATTGTCAGTTCACCCCAGAATGCACTTTTGCTTTTAGTAGGTTTTCCATTTTCTCCCAGGCACAGAATAGTACTTATCTTGCTCAATAGTCAGCCATTATGTCTGTTTTATCCACGTACAAAGCACAGGAGAAATAAAATGATAGGTGCCCTGATAAGGAGGATAAACTTTTGAAGTCTATGAAGAATGCAATTCTTTTTGGCTGATGGATTTCAGGCAAGTGCAAAGGACATAAACAGTTCTTTTTTTTTTTTTTCTTTTTTCTTTTAACCAAACTTAAAGGCATGAATTTCAATGGTGGACAACTGCAGTTTAAGCAGAAACACTTTAAGGAGTTACTTTATGGAGAATTGTCTCACTCTGCCCCAGACACCTGCTTCTATTCAGTGTAACTTAGTGTTAGTTCCTCACATTGAAAATAAATCTGTATAGAAGGAGAAAGCTCTCCTCCCTCTGCTTTCCAGGGATCAGTGTGTGTGAACCACTCAAAAAGCAGAGTTTTGTGCAAAGTTAGACAGCTGCATTGCTCTTTGGGGGCTTGGGGCAGTACCAGGGGTGCAGTAGGTCTGTCATTGCAAAGCTCCTGTCCAGCCAGCTGACAGCAACCACAGTCCCTGTCCTGCCTCCCCCTCACTCATGCCAAGGACAGGCAGCCCTGGTGCTCTGCTTGTGTTACTCTTGGAGGGCCACACCTTGTGCAGTGCCATCCTCATCCCTTTGCCACAAAAACAGGATTACACTTTGCTGCCAGTGGGACCAAAACTTCTCTTGTAATTTAACACAAAGTATTTAAAGAAACTTACTGTGCATTTGATGCCCTTGTCTCCCTTCCCTTCTTGCTTTTTTTCTGTTTTATCTTGCTCTGCCCATACACACACAGACTCTTGCCCTTGCAGGATGGAATTCCCACCTACTCATTCATTTGTTAGCTAAACTTGCCTACATCTGCTTTGAAAAAAACACAACATTTTAAAGATGTATATAAAATGCTGGATTGTAAATCTGTGATGTCTCTTTCTCCTGATAAATTCTTGAAACCTTTTTGATGCCCTTGCTTTCCCACTAGCCTTCAGTAGGATATTATGGCTTCAAATGGTGTAATGCACTGTAGGCTGTAAAAACTAAACTAGACTCACTGGAAGTGACCCCTGCCAGATGCAACTATTTTATTTTGCATTTTTCTTGTTTAAATTATTGAGATGGAAATCCAAGAGGATAACTCTACCTACTAAAATTGATCTATTCTTCATTTTTGTTATTTCAATGTTATGATTTCTTAGCCTAGATTTTAGAGAAAAATATATTTTTCCAAGGCGTCAATACCTGATTCAAAGGAACTTTTGCTGAAAGAATACAATCTTCATTGAACCCGTTTGGCTCTGGATCAGGCTCCTTATGTTTCTTTCAGAATAGAAATAAAATGTGCTTCTCAAACAGAATTGCAGGGATTTTTTTGCATAGTTCTACCCCAGCATGGCATTTTGCTATTGCCTAAGATCACTGAACTAATTGGGAATCATTCATAAAGACAGCAAAGAACAGCAAAACTTTTTGATTTCCTTAGTGATATTTCCTCCTTCTTGCTTTCCTCCCGTGAAATAAATATAGGCATAAGAGATGTCATTGCCAGAAGAGTGGGTAGATTTGTGTTAATGCCTAAGAGCAAATGTCAAACTATAGAAATGTCACAGTCTTGTATGCTTTGGAAGTATATGAACAGATATGTAGGCACTCAGTTTGTGGTGATTGGGCTGGGCTGAGCCCCATCCCCAGCTGGTTTCAGCTGTGAGCAGCAGGTGAGCAGCACTGACAGCAATGAGCCATGGAGTGCCCAGGGGCACTGACCAACCACCAAAGGGAGCAGAGGGCACACAGGTGCAGGGCATCAACAGGAGGGGATAAAAGGCTGGGCTAAAGAACAAGAAGGGCAGATGCTTGCAGCCTTCTGAGGTGATCTGATGTTACTCTGTGTGGGCAGACACCTGAAGCCTTCTGATGAGGTAAGGTGTTACTGTGTATGGAGAATGCTTAAAGCCTTCTGGAGTTGTATGATAATATTCTGTGTATCCTGGCTGTCTCAACTGTGACACAGTTTATTAGTTTGCTGTATCATTTCTTTGAAAACTTTGTCATAATCCTCTCTGCAGTCTTGTACTGGGGACAAATACTATGCTACGTGGCAATTTCTTCTAAATCTAGCAACATGGCTTTGTAATATTAGGCAAGGCAAAAGAAAGTTTGGGTGAATAATTTTTCTTTCCTTGAAAAGAATGTCTTTCAGAAGTATTCTTACCAAAGAAAAGCTTAGAGCTGTGAGTCACAGCATTAGTGGGTTGAACTATGATTCCATGGAGGAATATGGGCACACACTTTCAGGATTAGTGAAATGTAGATGTATTATTTGTAATAAATATATATTTTAGGGTAAAGGCACAGCTATAATCTCTGAACATCTGAATTCTAAAGAAAGATTACGGCTTGACTGGTAGTGAGACTGACATGAATAAATATGTTCTTTAAAAATTCTATTTTTTAAAATCACTTAAAATATTTTCTTGAAATGCAAAGGGACATAGAAACCAGAATTTATAGAATAAAGCATCAGGCACCCATATTCAAGATCTCTAGCATACAGATCATCTCTGAGAAGTGGTGCTTCTGGTGCCTTCTACAGACTTTTCATTTTGCATGTACTGCTGTCTGACTTTTTCACATTGATTTCTCTTTCCCTCTTCTGCCTCTGTCCCTTGTTTTCTATTTCTGCCCTTGTTCTCTTTCATGTCTTTAATTCATGCTTCTGTCCTGCTTCTGCATTCCACATTTTTTGCTTGCTCTTTTTTGTTTTTTATCTTCAGAGGAAAAATTCCCCCTTCCCCTCACCCTGTTGATCTGTTCCTTCTGACTTATAGTTTCTAGGATATACCACCACCACAGGCTATTTCTTCTGAAAAATGGGTGGTTAAAGCCAGTTGTGTTGGTACTCAACATTAACATTTAAACATATTTTCTCACTTCATATAATCTTTACCTACTATTTCTATGTAATCTTGAAGAATTATCCAAGGGAAAAATTTTAATGCTAAGTCCTTTTTGGCCTTTAAAACTGCTTGAGTAGATGAATTAAGGAAAAACCATCCATTTCTAACCAAAAAGTTGTTTTTCCATCGAAAGTCTCTTTGAAGGATAACTTCAGTTGAACTCTCCAAGGAAGCTGTATTCCCAAAGAATTACATTTTATCAGCTGAAATGTTTCATTCTGGTTTGCTGCAGCTGGTATCAGGAAGAACACACATGCAGCCTGAGCATTAATTCTGCTCAGTGGTGCAGGGTGACTGACCAATGGATGTGCTGCTGGATAATGGGGACAGCATTGGCAGGGCTTTGCCTGCTCAGCTCCTGAGCCAGGATGCACAGAAATCACCAGGTGGGCTTCTCCTGTATCCACTGCGTGCCTGCTAAAGGCTTGGGGGGGATTGTTGCTGTAGGATCTCACCGGCAGCTCTGCAAAGCCTGTGCAGAGTCAGTTTCAAATGACAGTAAATCAGAATGGTTGTGTTTACAGGTTTTGCACAGGCATTAGTGTCAGATTATATGTTCTGCCTTGGCTTAGGGAGGATGTTCTTTTATCACTTAAACTATTTTCCTGAAATGCAAAGACATGGAAACCAGACTTCCTGGAGTGAAGCACCAGACACCCATACTCACGGTCTGTACAGCACATGCCTCAGCAGGAATGTGAATAAAAGCACAAAGGTTTAGGAATCCAGGGATTAGGAAGCATGAGCTTCAGAATGTCCTGGGAGCTTTTCATAGTGGATGCCTCTTTCTCTGTTTTCTTAGAAGTGTGGGTAAACCAGTGTTGTCTTATTTTTTCCTTAGGTAGCTACTGCTTTCTGAGTATATGGTCAGGCAGCAGGCATTTGGCTGCTTCTGGCTCCAACCTCCTGGTTCCCCAAACACAGGATCTACAACCTATCAAAATAATGATAGGGTTGGTTTTATCCAGCAATTTAAGAAGATTCATTAATTTAAATGTATTGTCTATATGCTGCTGTAGCTCAGACCTCCTTACCTCCTTGTAGCCTCAGTCATGGCTGGACCTTGTGCTCCCTTGGATTTACAAGATTTCTTCTCCTTAGTAACACATTAAAATAGATTACACTTTTGTTTTGGTTTATAAAAGTATAATAATTTTTGGTTATTAAACATTTTGAAGGTGAATTGTAGTGCAGCTCTCATTCATGGTTTATAACAGAAAAGGATACTTGTGGTCAAAGCCATACCATATTCTGAACAGCCATGCACTCTCAGCTTTGGTTGTATTTTTATCCAAGTTAGGTGCACTCTGCAAAATAAACAAATGAATGAAGTGAGAAGCATTTTTATAAAATAAGTAAAACATGGAGTTCTGATATTAAGAATACATGTCAGACCAAATTACAATTAAATGTACTTTTTTAATTTAAAAAAAGCTTTTTTGTTGCACAAATGTCATCCCTGTGAATCAGTTCAGGAGAAAATTGGCTCATACAGCACATTTCTCATTGCTGCACTCATTTCAAGAATGTAGCATTTATTCTTATGAATGATTCCAATTTTTTAAGCAGTTGAGAAGTGCTATACTCTGAGATCAATAAAATGATATTTTGATTTAATTGCCGTTGTGGGATTACTTCAGTTTACTCCTACAAGATCAGAGGCTGTTTGTGTACGTCTAACAAAATGCCTTTCCCAAAGGGACTGAGATGTTGTAATAACTAGGAAAGTCCTTTCTACTTCCTTCCAAGGGGAGGGGGACATGAGTTGAATTGAAAAGGCTCAAAATACCCTTTCCATACTACAAGGGTATTAATTCTGTAACATGCTGCACAGGTAGAGAGGTGGACTATCCTTTTCCTCAGGGTCCTAATTTGGAATAATAAATTAGGAACAGTTATCTGTACAAAGACAGGCAGTTTGGTCATACTCTAGGTATCACATCAGTACTAGTGGAAGAATTGCTATCAGGATGAAATTAGGAATAGGGTGGCCAGTTCTCTAACAATATTGAACTGTCTTGGTTTTGTTTTGTGGCAAGTTAGGTTAGTTTAAATGAGAATATTTTTCTTTATGCACTTTTAAACCAATTAATCTGTTAATTTTCATGTTTTAATCTAATAATATATTAAAATAGAATACTTTATAATAGATTAATATACATGTAAATTGGTGATGATAATGTCAATGGTCTGACCCTCAAAAGTGTAAGGTCTAGTTCCCAGGCAACCTGTTCATGGGAACTTTGGAACAATGGGAGCATTGATGTAATTGAGTTTTGAATAAGGTTAGACAGAATCCATGCTGTAACTGTTCTGATTTTGGTAATGTGGTCACACTGAACATGCAAATGCACCAAATAGAACAACTATTATTCTTGGGATCTGTTTCCTGGTTAACTGATTTGACTATTTTAGCAACCCCTCCCAGTAACTGGGGGAAGCTGTGGGGGGAGGGGGAAGAAGATGATACTAATCCCTAACCAAGCAGCAGAACACTCTTCCAAGCTCTAAACATCTTAAAGTGCATTTTGGCAAGGTCAAGATTGGGTTGAAACATTTAAGCAGGAATTGATTGTAAGCAAAATCTGTGTTAGGTCAGAAGAAGAAGAACACTGAATAAAGGAGAGGGAAGGACTTGAGCTCACAGGGGTAGAGATGAGGAAGAGAAGGACAGGCATGGAAATAAACATATTGTCCTCATGTGTGGGGCAGAAGACAGCTTGTTAAAAGCACAGTGAGCTCTGTAAATGGCTTGTGTCCTTTGTTTGCATTGTCATGTTGTTGTTGGTTAATTCCTCTTTCCAAACTCATTGTACCTCTAGCTTCCTCTTAAGGAAGGAGGTTTCCTCACTCAGGAACATGAATTGTTGAAAGCAGTGGACAAAGAGATCTACACAAGAGTATAATCCCCCAGGGGCTTTCTGGTCCTGAGCTGGGCCTTCTTTTATTTCTAGTTTGACATGTGGCACCTTCCTCCTTTTGTCTATGAAATCTGTGTTGTGTTATCAGCTCTTGCAGCAGTGGGGATCTGGGTGGTTATCTGGAGTGCAGCTCCTGCAGAAACAGCGCAAGGGAGGACAGGAGATGTTGGTGTGAATGTTTCAGGGCTCTTGCAGATCCTTGGATCCTATTTTGGATCTTAAGATTTTAAAGAGTAACTTTTCACTTTCCCTACAGTTCAGAGAGGTAAAAGTAGTTCTCTCTGGGAAGGGAAAATGCCAAAGTTTTTCACATCTCTTCTTCCATATGGGAATTGCCCATATGGAGATTACTCTCATTAGTCCTTGCAATAAATTCACCAACCAGCTGGCAGATGAAACTGATGAGAACAGTGTAACTAAATTCCTTATTATACTTACAAAGATGTAGGGACAGTTAAATAAACTATGCAGATTAGTTTGACAGAGATGATATTGATAAGCATTTTGCATGCTATTTAGTTTTTTCCTGAGATCAATAGCCTATCTACGACTTTTTTTCTGAAGTGCTTGTAGAAAATAATTTCTTACCCTCTCTCAACTGAAGTTAACATAGCAGAATTTGAGATACATAAGCCATCTGAATGAAATATCCTATTGACTATGTTTTTTAATGGGAATTTAGTTAAATGGCTCACTTCCACAAAGCTTTTGCCTTTTTAAAATAGACCCACTTTATAACTATGCTTAGTGATTGTGTCCCTGCATTGTGCTTTTCAGAGTTAGCTTTTGGTATTTGTACACTGAATGTACATGATATGCAGCAAAGTGGTTTGTTTTACATACTGTTTTCTATACAATAACATATATTATTTTAGTATGTATTCTGTAGTTTCTCTCACAACTAAGTTATGACAGTCCCTCAATAAGCAAATGTCTATGAATATGAGGCTACTTCCTTTTGTTAATGCTCATGCTGTGATAATGATTTAATGATAAATTTAAGGGTGGCAAGACAGAATTGAAACTGAGATATGCTTCTGATGGATGATGATATGGTGTAGTACAGATGTTAATTATACATGAAAAGATCTGCACCTTTTCTAGGGAAGGAGCTCTGGGTTCCAGGTCTTACAGTTTCAACTGGAATTTGCTGCCAGCTGACTGCCAAAATTATTGGTTCATGTATCCCAAAGTAAAACATAATCAGAAGTGTAGAAATAACTGTGTATATAGATTTATTCAAGAAATCAGATCTCTTCACAGAAAATTGAATTTTTGGGAGGCAAAGGAAGGAAAGAAGGGAGAAAAAGATGATGAGGTAAGGAAGGAAAAGGGTTTTGCACTCATATAGCTGGTGTTGCATCTGACTTAGTACCCATGAGGTGGAAGGTCTCTAAGGCTTCTTCTGCCCCTAAAAAAAAAAAATCTAGGTATGGTTACAGACATGGATTGAGAGACTCCCACAAGGTACCCATGTCCTGGTAGTTAGAGTGGTCACAGAGGAGCTAAATTCAAATCTTGGTAACAGACCTTGTAGCTTTCCCATTCTGGCTGAGTACTCTGACTGAGCAGAGAGAGGCCTAGAGGTTTCTTTTCCATTAATTTTTGCTCTCCTTTAAACATCTTGTTCTTGAAGATATTTTGTTCTTATTTCTGATACAATCTCCCCTGAGCTTCAATTAACAGCACTGAGAGTGGGCATGTGGTTTAAAGTTCATCTGGGCAAGAGCTTTAAGTGGCAGTGGGAGGTACTGGCACCTGACCCAATATTTGTGCAGGGATGGATGTGCAGGAAAATCAACTGCTTCCACTGTGAAAGTCCAGTAACATAGGAAGAAAATAAGCTATGAAAGGTAAACTGAGTAAAAACATCACTTTGGAAATAAAGGGAAAGCAAAGAGAAACACGGGAGGAAGAGAAAATTAGAAGAAACAACCTGACTTGAATAACTATGATAGGTACTGAGCTAAAACAGTGAGGACTACAGAGAATGCAGCAAAGGTTTGAATTACTCAAATGTTGAGATGTCAAATATAAAAAAAATTCAGACAAATAAAAATAAAATTCTATGGGAGGAGGAAAGAATAATCAGAACAGCAAAACTTTTTTCTGAGGTATAATATACTACTATAAGGAATGCTGAACTGGACATGATAGGGCATGAAAAGTGTTATATTTATTTACACCTTCTGTGTTGTATTGCTCAGTTTTGTCAGAAGGGATAGGTGTTAATTCACAGAGCACAGTTGGGGCACTGGATGTGTTACTGTTGTAAATAAACATTATTATTTTCATTTTCAGTAAAAAAATGAGAAAATTAGATGCCTAGCAGCTTCTGAAGAAATCAGGTTTTTGCAAAACATGCATTCAGTCAATTTTATGCTGCATTCCCTGATCTTTGATAATTCATGAGTGCTGAGAAGGTGAAAATTTCTGCGGTTCTGTGTCTCTGTACTCCAGTCAAGAATAGACTATGGTTCTGTGTCCTGCTCTTGTTCAGAATTTGGGCAGAGGCATTGCTGGAATTCCTACCAAGATGCTTAGGGAAGTGAATTTAGCATGAGGCCCCTCAGACTCAGAACAAAACGGTGCCTTGCTATGGTGCAGTGAAGGGTTATGCTAAACCTTATCAATAGTGACTGGGTTGTAGAATGAAAGATGTGGTCGGTGTAAACAATGTTGTTTTCCTTCTTTTAAAAGAAACATTAGGGTAATTAGGCACCTGAGTTCTACTTGTTACAATGAAAATTGAGATTCACCTTATGTGCCTTCAGAAATGTGCAAATGTGTAAATGTTAGGAACACTCAGCACATAGGAGATATTAAAGTTTTGCCTAATGGTATTGCTAATGTATTTTGAAATGAAAAAAAGTATCTTATATCTTACTCAGCTTATTTTCTACATTTTTGTTCTTGTTGGATGATTTCAATTTCAGTTCCAGTTGTGCTGTCTGAAAGGGTGCATGGGATGGTATCACCAGCATCAGGCACTTGTTGGCTTTTTGCTTTGGCACCTTGTCAGCTGTACTGTGGCTTCTCCTCAGTCCCCCTGCTGTTGCACTCACTGTGCTGAGCCACAGGTCCTGTCTCTGTGCATTGACTGTACAGATTCCTCCTGCTGCTGCAGGCAGTGCTGCACTTGAAACTGCACCACATATATAATATTGATATATATATATATATATGACAAAAATGGAAGGGCACAGATGAACAGCTGCAGCTTGTTCAGGAGCCCCCTTCAGAGGCTTCAAGTTCACAATGTACTCAGGCTTCCATGTGAAAAATAACTGAAAAATATTTTCATACACCTGACCTACTAGAGTTGAGAATTAAAAATTCTGCTTTTTAATTCTGAGGTATTAAAGGTTGTTCTGAGATCTCTCATTTCCACAGGTGCAGCCATGATCTGCCAAACACTGAACTCTTTTAAATGCAGCATGTATGTCCAAAAGCCTGACATACCTGGCTTGCAGCTCTAGCTTTCAGATCTTCATCTGGATCTACGCCAACTCTGAAAAAAAGCCCAAAAAACCAAACCTGAGGACATATGGTAATGATCTGGTGTATATTAGACAGCTTTGAGTGTAAAAATGCTTCTTGTGTCACTCATTTCCTACTAGGTGAGAAATGAGGAGAAGAGCTGGGAAAACATCAGGATCACTTTTTAAATTAAGGAAGTTCTGAAGTTTTTAGGGAACTTAAGTTTCCATGTAGCTGCCACTCCTAACACCTGAGACTAGATCTTTCTCCTGGCTCTGATCCATCTCTGGGGAGAGACAATCAAGCTGTTACCCTGTGCTAGGAAATGCTTAATTGCTGTCAGAGGAGCAGGGCTGAGCAACTGCAGTTGGAAGTGGGGGCTGGGATTGCACAACTCCAGTCTGTCTTGCCTGTGCTGCATTGTGGATCTCTTGAGGCACTTGGAAAAGGCTTTACTTGGCACACCAGGTACGAGGAAGCAACCCAGAAGGGAGGGGAGACTGCAGGGAGTGATGTACAACATGGTGATAACCTGGGTGCCACTTTCCCATCCCATATGGATGGGAAAAAAATAAAATTGGCTCTTTAAAGGGATGTGGTTTAAAGGAAGAATTGACATATTTTGATTATGGCTGATACTCAGAGCTGAGGAGAAATGCAATTGAAAAATGTTTTAAGTTGAACAACTGAGGCTTGTGCTGATGAAAGACACAAGAAAGTATGGAAAGCAGTGAGGGATGATAAATAATACACCTTATTATCACCCAAATCTGAAGTCTACAGCTAAGGTGACCAACAACCCCCATGCACCTTGCAAGCTCCCACATAAGTAGTTGGTCCAACCAGAATTTTCTGATGCAAAGAAAATGTAGTCTTTCACTGGATATTAATTTAAGGCCACTATACTGGTTTTCTGATAGTCCTAATTTTTGAGTATAGATTTGCTTTTGGTAATAACACATCACATTATATTTTAAAATAATATTTAATATTAACAATTGCATACCTCAACATTCTTTCCTGTGAATGTTATGCATACACTCTTATTGGACTGGAGACAATGACAGGAACTATATGCAAAGTAGATGCTTTTTATATGTAAATACTGAATGGACAAAAAACCCAGACATTTCTTTCTATCATAGCTCTAGAGCTTCAACAAACCTGAGTCCTTCAGGCATAAATATTTCTATCTTTTTATTAAAAATAACCATCCTGGAGGTGACTCAACAAAGAGACAGAATGAATAGCAGATTCTCATTCTTTTATTTTCTTTCGTTTTTGTCCTCTTGGCCCTTAAATTGCAAGGAAAAGCTTCTGATGACACTAACCCTATTCATTAGTTTGGAATAAAGCAAGTAAGGTATTTCCATTTCATTAAAATGGAAACATTTACATATGAAAAGGAAAAGAATCATTACCCAGAGGTTTAACCATCTATCTGGCAGTGGGTTTGCCATTGCCATGTGCAGAACAGAAGTGTCCAGAGCCTTATCTGTGCTCAGCCCTGTAAAACAGAGCAGTGTGAGAGCCCTGCCCTGCCCAGGCTGCAGGGTAAGGACAGTGCCTGCAGTGGAGGCTGCAGCAGTGGCACAAATGTGGGTGCTGTGGTCCCAAACTCATAACCCAGGTCAGAACCAGAAAGCCAATCTGTTTCCTGAGCACAGGCACTGTTTGCTAGACTGTGCTGATTCATTAGATGTGTGCACCAGCACCAGGCCAAGATAAACCCACCAGCAGCACATCAGCTGGAGCCTGCAGAGCTCTGGAAGTAAAAAAATCCAACATATTTACATGTGTTCGTGCTGCAGCCCTGCCTTTCAGCTGCACCTGACTTCCCAACACTCCTCTTAATGAGCTTAACTTGATCTCAAAAAAGGTCACTTCTGGGACAGAGGTAATTTAGCCTTCATGCAGCTCTCACCTCACTGGAGCTGAGAAACCTCCACTCCTGGCTGTGAGTGTTGGAGTTGTGATGTGTTATTAGAGACTGAGCTAAGACAACAGAAAACATTTCACCCAGGACTCAAAGGACTGTAATAGCAAATGGAAAAAGGGAGAAGCCATGGGGATGGTAGGAGCAGAGTTTCTGGCTGTGATATTGATTCAGTAGCAGGATATAACTAATAGCTAATTCCACTGACAGCAGGAATTAACTGGTATTGTAAATCCTAATTTTTTTCCTGAGTTCTGCAGAATCTGTGGTGTGCTGAAGCTTCTCTGCATCTATAATTTCTCATCCTTATAGCTACAGCCACAGCTAGACATTTTGCTTTATTTATTTTGCAGACAACAGATTATTATAATACAGCACAAATGAAGATTCTCACATGACATCCTAACAGGAGTATTACATTTAAGGCTGGAAAAAAACCAACCATAAATATGGAGTTCAACCTTAGGTTTTTAATGTATGAAAATGAAAAGAAAGCTTCTATGCCACATGAATTCACAGAGCCTGAGCTGACACTTTATTTGGTCTGTTCTTTGCCCTCATTTAAAATACATGGTCAGATGTAATTGCTGTTTTTCTCATGGAATAGTATCTCACTACTGGGAGTTAGTCTGGATACCAGAATATTACCAGGTGATTTAAAGTCCTGTGGGAGAAGAACCAAATTATTCTTTGCATTATATGGGAGAGTTCTTTAATGCATTAAAACAGCAATGTGTTTCTGTAATTTAATGAAGTATGAACTATGTTAACTCAGTCTAATCAGTTCTGAAATTGTGGCTAATTATTTCATATCCAGCCATAGGCTTGGGAGCCTAATATCATGCCCCTAGGATTAAAAGTCATGGTCTTCTAGAATTAGCTCTGATACACTTGACATGAAGTAGAATTTAATATTTCTAAATATTAAATATTGAAAAAACAAACTATACCAAATTATATGCAACTGAAAATAATCATAGATATGCACTTGGAGTTTACAACCTTGAATTCTTCAAAAGGCCTGCTAGATCAAATGCTATTGCCAGTAGAATTTGGAAACTTTAAATACGTGTGAATTACTGTAACTGCCTCTAAGAGGTATCCTGAAAATATTTGTACAAACATCTTTCCCCCTTTAACAGTCTCAGATTTCTATTCCTGTGAGAAAAATCTAATGCATGCTCAGAAAAAATATTTTCTTAGTATTTTTTCTCTTTTCTTTCTATCAACTCTTGTCTCTATTCTCCTGTTGTCTTTTACTTCCTGCAGCCTCTCTTCTGCCTTTCTGTCCCACTTTGCCTGGCTGCTCTCTGTTCCTTGTTTGTCTTCTAAATATTGTATGCTTTTATTTCTGCATCTTATTCTATACATTAAACATTAGGATGATTTCTCTTCCATGAAGACAAATTCAAAGACTTCTTAATCAGTTCTACCCTGCAGTGAAGTTTACTTTATGTATTTAGATAGGCTTTGGCAATACCTCAGGTCCAAATGCCCTAGATAGGGAGGAAATCATACCCCTGGCAGCTACTCCGTATTGCCCTTTTCAGGATTTTGGGGTGGGGGATTGGGGTGTGGTAGGTCATGTGCCGTGTTTTTTTTGTCTTTAAATAAGGACTGGATCAAAACCTGGGTTCAGGGAATGCTTCCAGTTGCTCTGCTCAAAATGTGGAAGGGAAGATTTGACTTCAGGCAGCCTTTAGCAATTAGGCCTAAGAATTGCTGGGAACTGTGCATTAATCTGCACAAGTACCCCTTGCAGTGGATGGATTTAAATCCCTGTGTGCTATCAAGTGCATAATTTTTTTAGCAAAAGTCAGTATGTGCTTGGTAATAAGAGAAGGAATTTGTCACTGAATACAAAGCAGTTGATAACATCTTTCCTTATGTGGTTTGAAAAGAAAATGGATCAAAAGATAAATCCCAAATTGCCAGGGGAATCAGTAATAAAAAATGCACCACCAATCCCTAGGAATACTGAGCAGTAAATCACTATTCAGACATTGTAAACTTTTAATTCCCTTAAATCACCACAAAAACAACAGTGTAGGATAAAATCTCTGCTTTCTAGAGTGGAGTCACATAAAACCTTATATAGACTCACATCTTCATGAGGATCTAGGCACACAGAGCAGAACTGTTGGTGTCTGTACTTACAAGTGTGATTCTCAGCCCTCCCTCACTTTAAGTGCTGGGAAACCTGCAAATAGAGACATTTCTCTGAAATCTGAATTCTGATTACTGAAATTGTCCTTCTGGGCCTGCACAGGCTTTCTGTACTGGCACAGCAGGGCCTGGTTCATGCAAGTTAAATCCTGCTTGCAGTTCTACCCAGTCTGGTTTGCAATTGCCATGGACTCACACGGGTTAGGCATGCCCCAGCTGAGGCAGCCAGGACTGCTTTCATTTGAAACCTTGTCCTGAGAGCATGTAATTAATTCTGTCTAGTTGAAGCCCCTAGAAAAATTGTTTACATCTGTATTATTTAAGGCAGCTAAGGATTTAATGAACAAAAGATCAAGCCTGGGAAAGAGAACTCTCTCCTAATGCAAGTAGCAATCTTCCCCTGCTCAAAGTTATGATGGTAAATGTGTACCTGGTGGAACAGGACATCAGTGAGCTGTCACATGAGGGTCAGGATCAGCCAAGTGTCCTCTGTGTCCTTTTCTACACCAGTGGGGAAACAAAGGCAGTGCAAGAGGTGTGACAAGTCTGGCATCTCTATCCATTTCTGGCCTTATAGTATGAAATGGGTTTAACAACACTTCCTTCACCCTATGGCTCATCTGTTTTGTGTATTTAGCTTGTAAGCACACATCCTTTATCATGTTTGTACAAAATCTAGCACAGCTGTGTTTTTGTTTAGAGCTCCAAGAGTGCTGCTGTTAAGTTAATTAATAACCATATTGGCTTCTTTGCTTGTCAAAGGTTTCACTGGAAGAAGTCACTTTGTCAGTGCAATGGCCTCAGCCTTCCACTGGCTGTCTCACTGTAACTAAGCCAATCCTGAAGTCTGAGCTTGCATCTCAAAAGCTACACATCCCAGAAAGGGTTTTTTGAGTAAGTGATTTAGAACCCAATTTTCCAAGATGGCC